AAATTATCTTATTAAAAATATTATTATTATTTAATTGAATTATTAAAGTACTAACTATGAACTCCTTGATCACTACTGCTCCCATCAGTAAACAATGCTCTTATACCTTCAGGTATAATCACAGCTAGTGCAGTACCTACAAGAAGCCCAGCGCCAAGTATCGAAACCAGTTGTAATTTATCCTAGAAAGATTAAAGGTTCATGATGTTCATGATCATGGAGTTCTTTGTAGAATCTGTAATCAGTAGTTTAAATATATGACAATCACAGAAAATGATAGATAAAAAAATTGTTGTCTTTTCATCTATCGTCAAATGAAAAGGACATTACCTCGGATAAATTCATGACTAATGGCAAGGATCCAGCTATACAGGAACCAATTAACATTACCAGTGAAAGCATCCATAAAACCGAACTTTCTTCCATTTTTTAAGATGTATTTTTTTAATAAATAAAAAGTGTTTACTTCATCGAATTAGTATTTTTACATTGCCACTTGACATTAAGTGATCAATTATGTTATGTCTGTTAAAATGCTTAGATTTTTTTATTATCGCATTCTAGTTAAAACACAATTTCTGTTAGTCTTGCAATCTGTTTTCGTCTACGTAGCAGTTTTCGCGGTGAATGCTATGAGTATAGCAACGATATGAAAGCAACCCACTTTTACAACCATAGAGGAAGTAAAGTTAGATGTAATAAAATATAATATATAATGAAAAATTTTCATTGATTTATTTCATTGAAGATCTTAGTAGTGTTTAATATATTTCAAATACACTTAAGAAATGAATTAAAAGTAAAGTATGTTTTAATGAAAATGTCATCGATTTATTTACAAAAGAAGAAAGTATTTCCATATTTTACATATACAAAGATGTGTACACAAGTGCAAACTAACATGATGATACATTCAATGTTCGTAAACTTAAGAAAAAAGAATTAATGAACTCAAATCTATATAAATTAATTTTTATGGGTAGTATTTACATGCATCGATGGTGTATAAAGAACTATCTTGTGAGTATGTAAAAAAGTAAACAAATAATGTTCAACCAATAATTAAAGAAAATTAATGGGCTTTTTTCATGGATTTCATTTGTTCAACATTAAAAATTACTTTCCATGAAATATCATTCTAGAACCTCTATTGCAATTGATAATAATAGTTCATTACTTTTGATTTTTTAATTTGAATTATTTTACTAGATGGCAGAAGTGTTCACTATTCGTAGCACCTCTAGCGGAAATATCAATGTACTAAGCAGTAAGTGATTGGTAACGAGTTGAGCGAGGCAAGTGATTAAAAAATGGCATCCGCGACGACGTCGCACAATGAGGTTTCGCAGGAATTTTCTGTCAACAAACTTATTCGTGTCGGTTATTACGAATTGGAAAAAACTATTGGCAAGGGAAATTTTGCTGTTGTTAAAATGGCCACCCACGTTGTAACTAAATCGAAGGTAAGCCCATTGTTAAGGCATTTTTCTCACAAACACGGAACCCGTCATTTTGTCGTTATATCTTTGGATAACAGTGTGGACATGTAAATTTTATCATATTTTATGTTTTATAAAGAGTTCCTATGTAACAATAGTATGCCATAACATGAAAAAAACTAATAACTTCAAAGAATGTTTCACAAACCGATATTACCAACAGACACTATTACATCGATTGAATTATGTTCTTTAAATGTTTTTTCAAATCATTACTGTTGATAATAGATAGAATATCGTTGAAAAAATAAAATAAAAGTATGTTGCACTAATGTTCATATAAAAATTTATTGATTTAATATACATTTATTCATGCAGTATTTTTTTTTAAACTTGCATTCATTTTGTATCATTTTTCCTCTTTGTATGTATTTCTGTTTTCATGCAATAATTACTACAAATATTATGATATACTTTTTCATTGTTTTAAAAACGAATGTAATTAATTTGTATAAGAAACTACAAATTATGTAAAAAAATATAGCATTTCTTTTTTTTTAGTGATATCTTATGTGTTTAGAAAACTTTGTAAACATTTTGTTAACTGACAATGTTTTCTTCAGTGATTATAATAATTTTTCATTTTTAATATTGTATAATTTTATAAGAGAGTATTAGTAGTTTAAGTTCAGATTTTTTGAATAAGTTAAAGTTTAAAATAAATTATAAACATATACATATGTACTTTTTAAAATATATGCAGACAATAACAAAATCTGAATTAGTTTAAACACATATTAGCTTTCATTTTCATTGTTTATAATACAATACTGATACATACTTCTTAAGTTTTAAAAATTTTTCAAAAACATTTGTATTATAGGTTGCTATTAAAATAATAGATAAAACAAAATTAAATGAAGAAAATTTAGCTAAAATATTTCGTGAAGTACATATAATGAAACGATTAAGGCATCCACATATTATAAGATTATACCAAGTAATGGAAACAGAGAAGATGATTTATTTAGTTACTGAATATGCTCCTGGAGGAGAAATATTTGACCATCTTGTGCGAAATGGTAGAATGCCAGAACCAGAAGCAAGGAGAATTTTTCGTCAAATTGTTCTTGCTGTTCGTTATCTTCACCAACAAAGAGTTGTTCACCGAGATCTTAAGGTCTAAATATACATTTGTTTTCTCAGACATCTAGAAAAGTCATGAAAAGTTTAGAAAGATAAAGCAATTGAGACTCATATTAACTAATTATGCATATTATTTTAGGCTGAGAATTTACTACTTGATGCAGACAATAATATAAAACTTGCAGACTTTGGATTTAGTAATGAATATACTCCAGGTGTTCCACTTAGCACTTGGTGTGGATCACCACCATATGCTGCTCCGGAAATTTTTGAAGGAAAACATTATGATGGCCCAAGAGCTGATGTTTGGGTATGTTATATTTGGGTTATTACTATTTCAGTAACTTTTATGGGAAACACATTTAATAAAACTGTTACTGAAAGGTCTCACTTAACTGATTAATTTTAGAGTCTTGGTGTTGTTTTGTATGTATTGGTTTGTGGTGCATTGCCATTTGATGGACCCACAATGCAGTTATTACGTTCTGTAGTAATCTCAGGGAAATTCAGAATACCATTTTTTATGTCTGCAGGTATAAAATGTACAAATTTATATATTTCTACTTCATTATATTATAATTTTATGTACACCTTACTAATATATATGTTATTGTAGAATGTGAAAAACTGATTAGACATATGTTGGTAGTGGAACCAGAACGACGTTTAAGTATTTCACAAATTTTAGCACACTCTTGGATGGGTGGAGATGGTGTAACAGAACCTGAACCAGGAGGGTAATATACAAAAACTAATAACACGCATTATACTTATAAACGAATCGAAAATATACTGTATGTTTAATTGTGCATTTTCAGGTGTAGTCCTGAAAATGTGCCACCACAGTTAAACCAGGTAGTAATAGAAAATATGTTAAGATTACCAGGACTTAGTGCAGAAACATTACTGAAAGCAGTTCAAGGAAATGCTTTTGATCATGTATCAGCAATATATAATCTTCTTGTTGACCGATTAGAACCAACAATGCCTAGTTTACCTAGTATTCAAAGTATACCTGGAGATTATGCTCCTGATGGAGCACATCAGTTGGAAAAGGTAAATATTAAATGATATTTTATTATGTGATAAAGTATATTTCAAACATATATGTTTCTAAATATTTTATGTTGAAAAGTTTGGTGATACGGAAGCGGAAACAGAAGAAAGAAGTGGAATGCAACTTACACCTGGCACATCTTATCACACAACAAGAAGGCACACAGTTGGACCTGGTGATACTGCACATCAGCCACCAACACCATATCCTTATAATTACAATCATACATCAGGCGACCCGGCATTGCGACTTCTTCCTATATTACAGTGTAATAATACTGATCCTCAAGTGTTACCTCATACAAATCTGCCATTGAACCTTCCCTTGGTTCAACATCAACCTCCTCAGAACTTTCAAATCAAAGATCAACATCTGTTAAAACCTCCTCCTGTTATGGGAGCCAGTAAGTAATATAACAAATTATTTTTAACATATTTAATTATCTACTTCGATTTTCAATGAATATTTTATTAATTATAGCGGGAAGTTTTGGAAGAAGAGCTTCAGACGGTGGAGCTAATCTTCATGTGTTCTATCAACAACATGGTAGTAATTCTGGTGGTACAGAAGATGGTGGATGGAGTCAACCTGGCAGTAGAGAGCATTTACAACCTGTAAGAAAAATACTATAAAAACTATTAAATATTTATAACAAATTTTTGATGTTACTAACATGTGTATATTACATGCAGATACCAAGTGGAAGTCCAACACTAGTACCATGCACTCAGTCATTAAATGTAGGGGTTAATAGTGGAAATGGAGATGCAAATGGCAATAATAGTGGAAGTGGAAGTGGAGGAAGTGATAGAAAAAGACGAAGTGGTCTTACTGCCGTCATGCAAAGACCAGGTACTGTGGATTATGCCTTTCAGGTATTCATGTGCACATCATCAATGTCTTTATTACAACATGTTTCATATCATCTTAGTGAGATTTTATTATTATAATTTGCTGTATCAATTAATTTAAAAGCTTGTTATATTTCGTCGTTTTTAAAGCTGTAAGTATGATTATTATGCCTTGTTTATACCTTTGCTTTTGCATATGCAGTATTTGCATAATGGTGTGTTTTCTTTTACAGTGGTATACTGCATGATAAGTGTTTCCCTTTTATAAGTAAAATTATTTGTACTTTAATTTCAAACTAGGAATATAACTTGTGTTCTTATCTGACAAATTGTACATTGATATAAATGTACTTGTATTCGTTATACAGCTGCGTATTGATATATTTCCCGTAAATACTATAAGTATTATATTGTATATTATTTACTACTGTTAATATGCAGTTCTAGATTCATAAATAATTTTATTTAAATAATACACATGTGCACTTTATTTGCCATGTTTTTTTAAATATTTTATTCATTATTGCATGGTTTTTTTTTTGTGTTCACTGCACTGCCATGCCTCGTTGGTTGGTAATATGCATGTAGTTATAAATCCGGAAATGGTAATGGAGGTGGAAGCTAGGATGAATAGAGCTTACCTCCCATCACGGCTGTTACCAACTCACCTTAGAGGAGCAACACTTCCACATCATAGGAAGACTTCTTTGTATCATACCAGCACTGGTAATTTTTGTGTGGTTTTTAGCATTTTGTATAAATAGAAAAAAATCATTTTAAATACTATACACTCGTTATTAACGATTATATATATTGTATCATATATACAAGTGTGATTTGTATCATTTTAATAATTAAATAATATAATATTTTGTTTTATTGTTTTTAGTAGGTAATAGAGATTCATACAAGGAACCGAGCACACACGTTTCTACAGAAAGATACTCACCCGTTCGGAGAGCATCCGAAGGTTCTGGTCCACCTGGACCTGGAATTCAGGCACTTCAACAAGAATATCAGCAATTGCAGAGGTTAGCGTCTCCATCACATAGTCCTGCAAGTATTCCAGGGTCTCCTGTGCATGAAAGAGGAGTAGCAGCAATTACACAAGGTATTATTATAACATATCAATTTTAAATATCAAAGTTTTAAAACTAAAATACAATTATTTTTATTAATAGGTTTAAGTGGATTAACCACAGCAGCAATACAAGGCAGTATAGTTCATGGTACACCAACACAACCACCGGCAACACCATTGGATTTGAGTCCGCTAAGGCATCATAGATCACCAGCTACCACACCAGTCAGTTATTCACCTAGTAACAGTCCAGCTTTAGATATGATTCAGGAAGAACATCCTGTGGAAATACCAAGAGTAAGTAATTTTCAATAGAAGATTTATGTTACTGTTTAAATTAGATAAAAATAAGCTGAAACCATATATTTTTGTTTAATTATTATGGTTTTTTGCATTGAAAATATTTTTATTAAAATGATTATTATGGTATAATTATTCATTTTAGGTACCGCCTCAGATATCTGTAACAGATCTTGGAGGACAAGTAACTCTTATTAGTTGTTCACCTTCGCCATCTCCATCGCCTGATTCACTTGAAGACACGTTACCTCATTACAGTCCTCTTCCCAGTTTCATCATCTCTGAACCGTGTGACCCATCGAGACCCAGTATCACACGTGGCATCGGTAGGCCACTAAATACATCAATACCTACAGAAGTTGAAGTCACTTTATCGGATGAATCGAGTAGGTTAAATTCTGAAGCTATATTAGGCCGTGTAAAACAAATTATAGATGCAAGAGCCCCCCCAAAGGGATTTGTCTTCTCTAGAGAAGAAGTGAAAGGTGGCGGGCTTAGTTTAGAATACCCAGGTGGTGTTCAAATTGAACTTAGAGTATGTGAATCCGAAGAAAAAGAAGTAAAAGGCATTAAGATGCGAAGAATTAGTGGGGACCAATTGCAGTACAGTCAACTTTGCCAGCAGCTGATCTCGTGTATTACCGTTTGACGACAACCAGCACATAATATAATATTTTTCTTATATATTACGTTACATTCCTGGTGCCACACACACCACTCATTACAGTATTGCACATGCATGCTGCATACGTACGAGCGGTACTTTAAGCATACCATTCTTTATATTGATACATTCATATATGTAACATTCAGTGTGCTTCGTTTTTCAATGTTCTTTTTTCGTTTTTATTCTGACTTATAAAGTAGAAAAAAAAAACAAAGAATTTACGTTAACTTGTGCATAATATGAAGTTAGAACAAAAATACTACAATAATCTTTTAAAGTCTCGTTGTTTAGACTTTAAAAGATATACAAACATATATGCTTTCATACAAGCAAAATTAATTGTTTTGCTATTTTTAAACGATCTAAGTATTAACAAACCAGGACGATTTTCATAAAAGTTTAATCGTTAATGTACATCACACACCATTCCTTTTTGTAGAAAATTCGTTTTCATGTTAGAAGTTTATAGGTAGTAAATTCATATCTTACTGTTCAAATCATCATCAGGTGCCCTTTTTAGCTTAGGTAAAAACAGCGTCTTTTGTACCGGATTAGATGGCAAAATGTAAGCATTTTCATGATATATATGTCTTTTTAATATAATAGACATGTTTTATATGGAATTTACTATATTTAATCGATTGCCATTGCAAACAGTTTTAATTTCATAACATGTATTCCATGTTTGTAAATATTCGTTTTACAAATACTGTAATTTTTTTTTTTTTTATGTTATTGGGACTATAAGAATTGCCTTCTTATTTCTGGTACAAATACCACTTTGTTGGATAATTTAATTTTAATAGGTAGAAACATACATAATCTTTTGTATAGTGCAAATACATTATTGTGGTTTGTAGTTCAAGAACTGCACAGACTGAGTTACGATTGTATATCTTTCTTTTTTAAAATTGTATGTTACGTTTGTCGCAATTTATAAGTGAATGGTATTTGATTAATAATGTAATCAAGGATTTTATTAATTTTGGAAAACATGCAGCACTGTTATAGAGGAAGTATACTTTCCATTGGTTGCGCTTGTGAAGCATTTAATTATTACCATTTAAAAAGGAAAGTATGCAACCTAGCTCTCCTTGTGTAACCAAAGAATTGAGTTGCTTTTATATTCTTGAATACGAACGGTACATCCTTTACTATTCGTACTCTAAAAACAAAAAGAAGGTATGAGCATTCATAGTAATCGCTAGTTAATGTTAAATGAAATTGTAACTAAGCTGGCACATCTTTTTATTATTATTATGTTGCAATGATTAGATAAAAGACATTATATTAGTGTCGTGTATAGAAAAAATAGAAGATTTTATTCACTTAACATAAGCGAAATATTTTTTTCTAAATTCACTTGTTTGTGAAGTAAAGAAAATCTTTTTTGTTCACAGTACAAGCTACAATGAGTGCTTTTTTTTTTACAGAATACAACTTGTATGTTTACTTTAATTTGTTTAATTATATTATAATATAGAATTTTTTAAATTCATTACAATTTGTAATAAACATAAACATAGTAATTAAACAAATAATGTATGTGTTACATACAAGCTGTATTTTGCAAATAGAATCACAAAGCATTGTACTTCACGTACTAATTCATTTTTTGTTTGACTATTCCACTTTAAATCATGGATCAACTTAAATTCATTAGAAGTAATGATACTTCTGTTTTTGTAAATAACGAAATTTAATATAAATGTATGATATGTACGATTTAGAAATTTCTAAAGTGTATATTATACAGGCTATTCTATTTGAGCTAACTATTTTTAATATTCTAATTCATTGAAATTTTTTTTAATATATAATTGCTTTTACAGCATACTTTATTATAAAATTTTCTATAGAATGTGTACATATTAACTGCATATTTAAATATTAACATCATTTTAAAAAATTGGAGATGTGTTTTCACATTATTTAGATCAAATAATAAATGAATTTACATATTTTCTAATTATATACATGATTTATTTTATTAGTTAGCCAAGTGAGAGTAGCCTTTTAAAACTATGTAATGCCCAGTTTCCATCGAGTAATTAATTGTTTATTAATTTATAATTTTCAAACTTTTTTTAGATATTCAAATCAAAGTGAAAATTTTGTACATGTGCACTTATATTAGATTCATACTGAACATATACCGTTTAATAATGTAATATATTCTAATAATTCTTTGAAGATTATTGAACCTGCAATACGCATCAATTTTGTAATAACATAAATGGTATATTTCATTATAGATCTCAATTGAAAGAACTTTTTGAATAATTCCTACTATATTAAGTACTGATAGATATCTAAGGGTATATCTACTACAATATAAATTAAGCATATTGCTAGTATATGAAATAGGAGTGATTACACTTTTAAGATCTATTTGCAAAAATATCCTAAAGCAATAATTTATTTCTATAAAAAACGTTTTATGCCAAATAATATTTCAAGTTTCTTTCTATATTTTAGGATATATTTCAGGTTTAACAATATTGCTTTTGAGTCTTCCTTACAAATTATGGTTTTTGTTATAATATTGGAGTGCATACTTTTATGCTTGTGTATTATACAATATGTTGCACATATTTTATAAATTTTCAACTCTTTGATACCAAATGTTTGATAAAAGTAAAATTGAAATCATGTAAATTATGTTGAATTTAATTAGGAATTATTATTTGTCTTTTTACTAAAAATTAAAATGTGTATAACAAATGTAAGAACGTTAAAAAGTTCCGACAAATTTAATAATTAGGTATTTAAAAATTTTTAATGTATAATTGAAGGTCCACTTGTTTATAAACCAAAAAATTCTATATTGATGGAAAATGGGCAGGTAATACTACCAATTACGCACAACAGTGAAAGTGTAGGTCAACATAATTCAACTTATTGTACATAATACACTATACATAATTATTCATTTAGGATACATACAGTCTGTATGTATGCAGAAGCAAACTATGTACATTGTAAACATTTACTATATGGATAGGATACAGATAGTATTTTCTGCTGTCAATTCTTCAACTAAGACTGTGATTTTTAAATATACTAATGGCTAGGTAGATACAATACATATTGATTGAATATGATAAAATAAAAGTAAAAGAAATATTCAAAACATGCATTTTTAATATCTCTGTTCATTTCGTAATAGTCTAGAAGCAAAAATACGTCTATTTATTAATCGTATTATTTAGTGTCTCCTAAAATAGTCAAATGCTTAGTTACATAATACGAATTAATCTTATAAATAGAGCAGAACCTTTTAAAGTAATACATACATTACAAATTGCAATGTTCCAAATGGTATTTTTCCCGCTATAATTATTCCGATAGGAGGCACTGACATAACCGGCTTCCATACTGCTTCAATGTAAATAAACTAAAAGTTGAAGTCTTTTTTATTATTGTTAAGATCTTTTAATAATTTATGGTCTAACTAAATGTAAAAAGCTAAATGTCTAAAATTACTGGAATATAAAATGTTTAAACATTTTAATATAAAGTAAATTTAAAATAATTTACAAGTAGTAATCAGGTAGGAACATATTCTGTTAAATAATTTACCGAATTAGACAAAGTTACTTGTATATGTTATTCTTAAACGTTATTGTTTATTCTTAAATAAGCAATTTATTGTTTTTAATTAAGCTGTCAAAAAAGTGTAGCACTATTACTAATTATACAAAATGGAAGTTATTAACCTTGGTTCGGATGATGAAGCATTAGAGGATAACAGGAAGAAGAATAAAGGTTCCAAAAGTTGCAACAGTAATTGTATAAACTTTCAATGTTCCTCTGGAGTAAATATGAAATCAGCTCCCTCATTTGCATGTGCTTTTTATGGAGTCAATACAGAAAAAAAGAAAGAGCGTATGATATGTAGAAAATGTTTTGATGATGCATTAGAACATCAAAAGGTTTAAATTTTAAGATACTTATCTCAATAATTTTAATACAGCATTGTAAAGGTAGTAAATATTTATACTGTGATATTAATTTTCATAGCAATTGGTTGCAGCATTTGTAGATCGTAAACCACTATTAAAGTGTGAATTTCCTGATCATACAATGGAAGTAGAAATTTCAGATAGTGATGATTCAGATGATGATAAAAAAAAAGACACATATGATGAAGGTAAGATTAAAATTTTACTACAACGCACTAATTATGTATATTTATGTAATTGATAAATGTTATATCTTTTATTTCAGAAAAGTATTTGCCAGAAGAAATGCTTACAAATATAGAGGAAATGTTAGACAGCACATTAAATAATATTTTTATAAAATATGATGTAAAATACCAAATTAAGCAAGCACACAATATACTAAAAGACCAATGGGATAAAATAAATGGTAAATTATTTATTTATTATTTATCAAAGTCCATTTTGTATATATTTGTTACATATGCATAAAATTGTATATTTTTTTTAAACAGAAGAGAATGAAGTTTTAGATAGAACAGTTAAAGGCTTGATGCGTACTATGGATACATTGCGTAATAGTTTATATGATGAATTCAAGCCACAAATTCAAATGCTTCAAGAGCTTCAAATAGATGATGGTTATATGGACAATGTTTTCTATCCTTTAGTGGCAACAAAAAAAGTTACACAAGTAAGAGTTGCCCCTTTTACATTGTCACAAGATAGTCAACCTGAAGTTTTACCAATTGAACAAGATAATAGACAAATTGTAGTTTTGGATTTACCTCCAATTGGCCCACTTGTGAAACCACTAATAGATATGGATAGTATTGTATATATTATGAAACATCCACTTATGCCATGGATTAAGGGAAAGGTTACTAAATTTATTTTTATTTGAATTTTATTCAAATACTCTTGTATTTAATATCTGTTTAAAATCTTACTCATTCTATACCAGGTGCAAACTGTAGTTTCAAGGTCTCCCTTACAATTTCGTGTAAAATTACTGCAAAAGAAATATAATTCTGTTGTCAAATCTGTTTCTGGTAAACAAATTGCAGCTGCTATAACCAGTCAAGTAATAATTTCAGTTGGTACACGAGTAGTTGCAGTATTTAAAGATGTATCATCTAGTAATTTTTACAGTGGAGTTATAGCTGAACCACCAAAAGCCACAAATAAATATAGGTATACCTTTTGCATGAAATTTTAGATATATAAAGAGCATATAGTAGATATGTAGAGTAAGTAATAATAAATCTATTTGTTTAGATATTTAATATTCTTTGATGATGGATATGCTCAATATGTTGAGCATAAACATATTTATTTAGTTGCTGAATCTTCTCCTAAAGTTTGGGAAGATATACCTAATGAATCTCGAGATTTTGTGAAGAAATATATTGAAACATATCCTGAAAGGCCAATGGTGAAACTACAGACAGGCCAAGTAGTAAAAACAGAGTGGAATGGGAAATGGTGGATTGCAAGAGTAGTTCAAGTTGATGCAAGTTTAGTACAAATGCACTTTGATGCTGATGGTAGAACAGAATGGATTTATCGAGGTTCTGCTAGATTAGGACCTTTATATCTTGAACTTCTAAAAGCCAATGCAAGACAACAAGGGCATCATGCATCTGTCAATACGCCGAGTCGACATCGACTACCGGCTATATCTAATGTATGTAAAGTACTTAGATAGCCATACTTTTATGGAAGATAATCAAATAATATGTATTTATTAATATTGCAGAAAAGTAATTTGCCTTACGTAGAATACACATCTAATATAGAATCGGAAGAAGAAAGGGTTGCTCAATTAGGAAAAGAACAGAATACAGTAAGTGAAAATGCAGGTACATTTCCCCCAAGTGCACCACAACAATCACGCGCTGTTGCTAGGAAAAGTACTAGTAAAAAGCAAAATATTGTGGATGCAAGTACCTATAATCCTACTACGGAAACGAAACCTTCACACAGCATAGTTGTGAGTATATTGAATAAACCAGTA